ACTCGATCCCAGGACCCTGGGATCATGACCTGAGCCGAAGGCAGACGCTTAACAACTGAGCCACCCAGGCGCCCCGTAGATACTGTTATTATCTCCACTTTACAAATAGTAAAACTAAGGTTAGTTATGTTCATTGCAGCATTATTTACAATAGCTAAGATATGGAAGCAACCTAAGTGTCCATCAATAGATGAATGGATAAAGAAGATATGGTATCTATACACACAATGGAATATTACTCAGCTTTAAAAAAGAATGAAATATGGCGATTTGCAACAACGTGAATGGATCTTGGGTATAATGGTAAGTGAAATAGTCAGAGAAAGACAAATACCATACAATTTCACTTATATGTGGAACTTAAGAAAGAAGACAAATATACAAGGAAAAAAAGAGACAGACCAAAAAGAAAAAAGAAAAACCAGACTCTTCACTATAAAGAACAAACTGGTGGTTGCCAAAGGGGAGGCCAGTGGGGGGATGGATGAAATAGGTGATGGGAATTAAGAGTACACTTACTGTGATGAGCTCTGAGTAATGTATAGAATTGGTGAATCACTATATTGTATTGTATTGTAATATAACACTGTATGTTAATTATGCTGGAGATAAAATTTTAAAAAATTTCTACCAAATACAAAAAAAAAAAGAATGAAATTTTGCCATTTGTGACAACATGAATGGACCTAGAGGGTATTATGCTAAGTGAAATAAGTCAGACAGAGAAAGACAAATATCATATGATTTCACTTGTATGTGGAATCTAAAAAAACAGAACAGAAGCAGATTCATAAATACAGAGAACAGACTCATGGTTGTCAAAGGGGCAAGGGGTGGAGCGGATGGGCGAAATAGGTGAAGGGATTAAGAAGTACAAACTTCCAGTTATGAAATAAGTTGCAGGGATATAAAGTACAGCATAGGGAATATAGTGGATAATACTGTAAGAATTACATATGGTGACAGTAACAAGACTTATTGTGGTGATCATTTTGTAATGTATATAAATGTTGACTCTCTATGTTGTACACCTAAAACTAATATAATATTGCATATCACCTGTACTTCACTGAAAAAAAGGAGGGGATATATGGACAGAGACACACAAGGAGAACACCATGTGAAGATTAAAGCAGAAATTGGGGTGGTGCTTCTACAAGCCAAAGAATGCAAAAGATTGCCAGCAAATTATCAAAAGTTAGGAAAGAGGCATGGAACAGATTCTTCCTCACAGCCCTAAGGAGGAACAGACCCTACTGATGTTTTGATTCCAGACTTATAGCCTCCAGGACTGAGACAATAAATTTCTGTTGTTTATAAAGAAGTCATTAAATAAATAAACAAAATAAAACTAAGGTTAATTAAAAAAAAAAAGGACAGGGGGCGCCTGTCTGGCTCAGTCAATAGAGCATGCCAGGTTTTATCTTGGGGTTGTGAGTTCAAGCCCCACATAGGGCGTAGAGTTAAAAAAAAAAAAAAAAAAGGTTCAGTAAGTTGGCCAAAGTCATACAGACATTGAACTACAGAACCAAATCTGGACACTCTGTCTCCAGAACCCTCCTCATTAATTGCTATGCTCTACAACTTCCCATGAGCTTCAGTTGTATTCATCTGATAAAAATTTCATATGATACAACAAAATGCCTCTAACACTTAAAAATGTTGAACTAGAGAACTACAGTTTATTAAATGTAGTTTGGCTTTTCTCATTTATTGGGAATAAAATCCACCCATATACACAACACAATAATCACAGAAAGTGCTTAAAAATCTCAAAACCTTTTATAGCATTTAGAAACAAAACACCTAAAATTATAAAAATAAAGTACATTACTTTTTAAGGGAAAAATTCATGAATTCGTGTTATCAGGACTTAAAAGCAAGTTTGTTTTTATTTACTTGTGACGCCATAATGAAGTTTAATTTCAGTCCATATTTTATATACTTTGTCCTAAAAACAGAAACATGTTAAAGATTTTTTTTTTAAATCAACAAACTGCTTTTTTTAAAATATTTTATTTATTTGAGAGAGAGAGAGAGAAACAGCATGAGAGGGGAGAGGGTCAGAGGGAGAAGCAAGCTCCCCACTGAGCTGGGAGCCAGATGCAGGGTTTGATCCCAAGACCCTGGGAACAGGACCTGAGCTGAAGGCAGATGCTTAACCGACTGAGCCACCCAGGCACCCTTAACATAATGAATTTAAAGTAAATGAAACAGCATGTGTCTCTCGTGAAATGGGAAATGTTTCCTTTTCTGTGAAGAGGATTTCACTAGGCTAACAATCTCTTTCACTCTCCCCTATGCCTCCCAGCGAAGGCAAATGATTTGCTGAATTGGAGGGAAGAAACTGGGTTTCTGTATCTCACTCACTTCTTCCATTCTCCTGATAGCTGTCAGCCTCCATGAGTATCCAAGTATTGTCATATGGGAGAAGGGGCCAGTCTCTTCAAGTGAAGCCTCTGGTTTTCCAGCATTACCTGTTGACCAGATAGGCAAATCTGCCTACTTTTGGAGTTCAGTATTAGGAAGCTCACGTGCCCACAAATGTAAGCCATATTCTCTGATATCTGCTTTTAGTATTAATAAAGAATATCCTGGGGTGCCTGGGTGGCTCAATCAGTTAAGCGTCTGACTCTTGATTTTGACTCAGGTCATGATCTCAGGGTCCTCGAGCCCCACGTCGGGCTCACACTGGGCATGAAGCCTGCTTAAGATTCTCTCTCTCCCCTCCTGGTGCTGCTTGTGTGCTCATTGGGTGTGGACCTGGTACCTCTTTTGTGAAGCAGCAGCTGAGGAGACTCCGGTGCTCACCGTGGCCAACGAAAAGCCCAAGGAAGGAGTCAATACAGAGAACAACGATCATATTAATTTGAAGGTGGTGGGGCAGGATGGTTCTATGGTGCAGTTTAAGATTAAGAGGCATACACCACTTAGTAAACTAATGAAAGCCTATTGTGAACGACAGGGTTTGTCAATGAGGCAGATCAGATTCCAGTTTGATGGGCAGCCAATCAATGAAACAGACACACCTGCACACTTGGAAATGGAGGATGAAGATACAATTGATATGTTGCAGCAGCAAACAGGAGATGTCTAATAAAAAGGGAACCTGCTACTTTACTTCAGAATTCTGTTCCTCCAGACCAAGAAGACATTCTGAATTAGAAAGCCGCAATTTGGTTCCACCACATCCTGACTACTACAGTATAGTTCTCTATTCTTTCATTTTCCCCTTCCCCATTCCTTTATTGTACATAAAGTAACTGTGTATGTGCACAAGCATATTGCATTTTTTTTTAACTAAATGGCCAATGGTATGTTTTGATCGACATCAAATGGAGATGGGATGGGGGAAAATACTGCTTCTGTGAAAATACACCCTCTCTCCATTAGTGGCATGCTCAATCAGCTCTTATCTTTATATTCCAGTAAGATATTTTGCTCTCACTGTTTAACAAAAAAAAGAACAACATAAAAATCCTTGCTACCTTGTTTGATTGGATAATTTTAATGTTTTTCATTTATCATTGTAAAACCAAGGACAATTTTATAACATTTTTGTACATAGCTGTTACATGTAGGGCAGTCTGTCTTTAAGTAGGCATAAATTACTCTAAAAGAAAAGAATCCTAGATAGTTTTCCTTTCAAGTCAAGCGTCTTGTTGTTTAAATAAACTTCTTATTTATTTTATTTTATTTTTTTAAAGATTTTATTTATTTATTTGACAGAGAGAGGGACAGTGAGAGAGGGAACACAAGCAGGGGGAGTGGGAGAAGGAGAAGCAGGCTTCCCGCTGAGCAGGGAGCCCGATGCGGGGCTCGATCCCAGGACTCTGGGATGATGACCTGAGCCGAAGGCAGTCGCTTAACCAACTGAGCCACCCAGGCGCCCTACATATATTTTTCAAGTAATCTCTACACTCAACATGGGGCTCGAATTCACAACCCCAAGACTATGAGTTGCATGCTCTAGACTGAGCCAACCAGGAGCCCCTAAAAATATTTTATATTTAAAATCAGCTCTTCTGCTATGAATTGTAAGACTAATGAATCACAGAGCTGCACCCCTGAAACAAGTTATACATTATATGTTAATAAAATAAATAAATAAAATAGGGGCGCCTGGGTGGCTCAGTCGGTTAAGCGGCTGCCTTAGGCTCAGGTCATGATCCCAGAGTCCCGGGATCGAGCCCCCTGTCGGGCGCCCTGCTCAGCGGAGAGCCTGCTTCTTCCTCTGCTCCTCACCTCGCTAGCTTTCTCGCTCGCTCTCTTGCACTCTATCAAATAAAGAAATAAAATTGTAAATAAATAAATAAATAAAATAAAATCAGCTCTTCATCACAGACCATATTAAATTGTGAAGTAACTGGACAAAGTTCCAAGGAGTGTTAAGATTACATATTTCTGAGAAAGGGACCATCAAAAAAGTTGAACATAAATCTTAAACAAAGCTAAGGGCCAGTAAGATCCAGAAGCCCCTTTTCTCTATACAAGGCTTTCCCAAACATCCCTAGCACCTGGGCCACTTGTCAAATCTGCAGATTATCTATCAGGTCTCTCCCCTGGACATCTTGATTCATTGAGCCTTGATTGGGGCCCAGGAATCTCTGCTGCTAACTTTCTCTTAGGTAAGCTTTCCCATTAGGGAAACTGGGAAAAACATTGCCTTTTACCAGAAATAATGAAGCTAACATATTTTGATTTATAGCTGTGCATAAAAATATAGAATGATTTATTCCTAATCTCGGTCCCTATAATTCTGCCTTAGAAATGTGCTCAAGGGGCACCTGGGTGGCTCAGCCGTTAGGCGTCTGCCTTTGGCTCAGGTCATGATCCCGGGGTCCTGGGATCGAGCCCCGAGTTGGGCTCCCTGCTCAGCAGGGGAGCCTGCTTCTCCCTCTCCCACTCGCCCTGCTTGTGTTCCCTCTCTCCCTGTATCTCTGTCAAATAAATAAATAAAATCTTAAGAAAAAGAAATGTGCTCAAAAAGTATGTATTTACATTTGCATATACATTAAAAAATTTTGGAAAATAGGAGCGCCTGGGTGGCTCAGTTGGTTAAGCGACTGCCTTCGGCTCAGGTCATGATCCTGGAGTCCCGGGATCGAGTCCCGCATCGGGCTCCCTGCTCGGCGGGGAGTCTGCTTCTCCCTCTGACCCTCTCCCCTCTCGTGCTATCTCTCATTCTCTCTCTCAAATAAATAAATAAAATCTTTAAAAAAAAAATTTTGGAAAATATACACCAAATGGTTAACAGTGGCTACTTCTGGGGAATGAGATTGGGGGTATCCAATCTGGATTTTGATTTTTTTAAATATTATACAACTTTTTATTAGTTGAATGGTATTATAATGATCATATGTTACTTATGTATTTCAAAACTACTTAGGGAAAAAAACTACTTAGGAATATTTAAAAAATTAATCACAAATAGAACTAAAATCAGGATGTCTTCTTTCCAAATAATAACAACTGCTCAGTCTAGGTTTCAGTCAACTAATCAAGCCAACTGATAGAGCCATCTCAGCTACTCCAGTTTGAACACTAAATTCAGGATCTCAAGTCAGTTATATTGATAACATGTGCCCAATTTGGTATTATATTCTTCTTTGCTCTAACACTCTTAGAGTCCATTCCCACAAGCTTCCCAGCTTCCTATTAATACAGACTTGGATGGTTTTGCAATGATTTTGGTATGTAAAGCTGTATCTTCTTGGAACAGAAATGCAGCTTTCCCCTGGGGGTACCTTGGAAAGTTAACTGGTTTCTGGAGGCAGGAAGGTGAATCTTCAGGAAAGTAGGCATCCTCTACTAAGGTCACAGCCTTAGGCAAGGTTTTACAGAGTCTTTTAACAAGGGAAATTGGTTTCCTCAGGTAGAGAAGGAGGTTCTGTTTTTACTTGCAAGGGAGGTTCAGGGGAATTTGTATACAAGATTCTCAGCTTTGCCTTAGTCCATCCAAATATCTCCAACTCAGGTCTTGTTTCCCTCCTCCCCAACTAATATCCTACTCTTAACATAAGACTTGGTGAGGGGGCACCTGGTTGGCTCAATTGGAAGAGCATGTGAGGGGCACCTGGGTGGCTCAGTTGGTTAAGCGACTGCCTTCGGCTCAGGTCATGATCCTGGAGTCCCAGCATCGAGTCCCAGGATCGAGTCCCGCATCGGGCTCCCTGCTCAGCAGTGAGTCTGCTTCTCCCTCGGACCCTCCCCCATCTCATGCTCTCTTTATCTCATTCTCTCTCTCAAATAAATAAATAAAATCTTAAAAAAAAAAAAGGAAGAGCATGTGACTCCTGATCTCTTGATCTTGAGCCCCACATTGGGTGTAGAGATTACTTCAATAAATAAAATTAAAAAAAAAAAAGTCTTGGTGAAGTTGTGTGTTCTGCTGTAATTCTGTCAGCTGCAAAATTAAATTGGGGCCTTGTCTACCAGGCACTTGCAAGAGATCATTTATTTTTTTAAAGATTTTATTTATTCATTTGACAGAGACACAGCGAGAGAGGGAACACAGCAGAGGGAGTGGGAGAGGGAGAAGCAGGCTTCCTGTGGAGCAGGGAGCCCGATGCGGGGCTCGATCCCAGGACCCCGGGATCATGACCTGAGCCGAAGGCAGACGCTTAACGACTGACCCACCCAAAGCGCCCCGAGATCATGTTTTTTTAAGGTTATAGAATTTCTGTGGTTTTCTACCTATTTCTTGAGCTCAGAACCAATGTCCTGATATTTTCTTATTTTTACTGAATATTCTTTTACTCACTAGTATAACTAGAAGGAATCTCACCTCTCAGTTCTTGTGGCCATCTTTATCATCATACTAGACTAGCCAGTATTTGAATTCTCAGAGCCTTGCCCTATTCAGACCTTCCATCTCAAACAGATCACATTTTAAGAAATTATGTCATCCCATGGTGTAATGGTTAGTTTCATGTGTTAACTTAGCTAGGCTATAATAGCTAGCAATTCAATCAAACACTAATCCAGGGATTTTGTAGGTGGGATGGAGATTAAATTCACAGTTGTTGACATTAAGTAAAGGAGATTACCCTCCATTATTATTATTGACTGGATAATTATTCTCATCCAATCAGTTGAATGCCTTTAAGAGCAGAGTACGGGGGCACCTGGGTGGCTCATGCAGTTAAGCGGTTAAGCATCTGCCTTAGGCTCAGGTCATGATCCCAGGGTCCGGGGATTGAGCCCCATGTCGTCGTTGGGCTCCCTGCTCAGCGGGGGTCTGCTTCTGCCTCTCCCTCTGCCCCTCCCTGCCACTCGTGCTCGGTCTCTCACTTTCTCTCTCTCAAATAAATAAATAAATAATCTTAAAGAAAACAAAAACAACAAAGTAGTGAGGAAGAAATTCCACTGAATGGACTTCAGCTTCAGTTTCTGCCTGAATTTCTACCCAGAGGGCCTGCCTGTGCTATAGATTTCAGACTTGATTAGTCAGACCCCACAACTGCTTAAGGTAACAATTCCTTGAAATATACATATTTGTATATGTACTAGATATATATATATACATTAGATTCTGTTTCTCTGATACTTGAGAACCCTGATACACATGCCATTTCAAAGCTAGCTACATAATTTGTTCAGCCCACTGCAAAATGAAAATGTAGAGACCCTTATTCAAAAAGCAGGAAACAGGGGCGCCCGGGTGGCTTAGTTGGTTAAGTGTCTGCCTTCGGCTCAGGTCACAATCCTAGGGTCCTGGGATTGAGCCCCACATCAGGCTCCCTGCTTGGCGGGGAGCCTGCTTCTCCCTCTCCCACTCCCCCTGTTCGTGTTCCCTCTCTCGCTATGTCTCTGCCAAATAAATAAATAAAATCTTAAAAAAAAAAAAAGCAGGAAACAGGGGCACCTGGGTGGCTCAGTTGGTTCAGCATCTGACTGATTTAAGTTCAGGTCATGATCTCAGGGTTGTGAGATCGAGCCCTGCGGTGGGCCTGTGCTGGGAGTCTCTTAAGAGTCTCTCTCTCCCTCTGCCTCTACCTACTTCCCCTCCTCAAAATAAAAAATAAAATACAATAAAAATGTGGAATGGGGATTCTTTAAAAAAAATGATGAAAAGCAGGAAACAAACAAAAAAGC